AACGTTTGGTCAAGCAAGATGGCGCAACTTGTCCACAGCACGTGAACCATGCGCTATTACGGAGAAACAATTCGAACAATTAATTTCACGAGTCGACCGATTAAGTGGCCACCCTAGATCGTGTGATATCCCCTCAGACTTTTTCTTTAGGGGCTACGTCAATCAAGTCCTTAACTAGCCGATCTACAATAGTTGTTGGAAGCAAACATCACGCACATCATTGATCACAAACCAGTCGAAATGCTTGGACGTGTCATTGAAAATTGAAAATTAGAATAGACCATATTAACCGCAGTTGGGCTTAACTTAAAAGATATTATATTTAAAAATAAATGTAAATGTAGCTTTTTTGATAATAAAATAATCTGCTATACAATTTATTTTATTACTTTTTACTTTGAAAAAGACTTACTAAATGAATCAATCGTTAGAACTGATCATCCAGATGGTAAATTAATTGTTTCCGAATTGTTCTCGCCAATAAGCATGGTTTCATTTTGTATGGCAAGTTGCGCCATCTTGTTGGTAAACGTTAATTTAGATTACGGACTTCAATTTCTGGCAGCAAATAGTCCGTTATCATGGCGCGATAACGGGCGCCATTCACGGTTACGTTCTGCCCGGCTTCATTTTTGAAGAAATATGGCCCGATAATTCCACCAGCCCATAAACCACACCAAACTGTCGTTTTTTCTGGATGTAATGGCAGCTCTTGAATCTCTTCGGGTTGTTCTTCATCCCAAATTCGGCAATTTTGCTTATTGACGTAGCTATTAAGCCAAAAATGGGCCTCATCACTGAATAAAATTTTGATCGTAAACAGTGGATCTTCTTCAAACAATTTCAAGAGCCCATACACTGAATCTGTGACGACTCGGAAGGTCGGTTGGCTTCAAATCTTGCACGAGTTGAATTTTGTATGCTTTAAACCAAGGTCCTTACGTAAAATACGCCAAGTTGTTGCATACGACAAGCCTAGTTGTTGAGAACGGCGTCGAATCGACTCATCGCGGTCATCGCGTACACTCCTAGCTACCGCCGCTATATTTTCTCCGCTACGTGCTGGATGAGGACTATTTGGTCACGTGTTATCCAATAATGAAAATTGAGTTTCAAATTTATTAATCGTATAGCGAATTGTGCGTTCGGTAGGTCGATTATGCGGACCATAAGTTTCTCTTAGCTTACGAAAAACAGTCCTCGTTGAACGTTGATTTTCGTAGTACAGTTGAATAATTTGTAGACGCTGTGCCGGGCTAAGTCGTTCCATGATGAAATGTCAAATATTACTAAACTAAAATAAAACGACAGTTTGATACGACTCATGTTTTATCAGTCATAAATTCCCATTTAAAAATAGTACTTCTAAATGAATCACCCTATATAAACCGTATAGCCCGGAAAAATAGTTTAGTGCATGGTTTACAGTGTGTCTCCAAGATGAGTGCTAAATCAATTTGTTTTTCTTGTAATAAATTTAAAAATTCTGCTTCATTTTGTTTTATACCATTGGCATTCCAAAGTAATACCTTAATTACGTTAGAGTTAAGTTGGTGACAGACCATCATTTTAAGAGTTTATCTATAACTGTTGTAAGGAGTGATATGAGAGGATTAATTATCAGTTTAAATTCAGAAATGAACGAGGATAATTGGATTGCTATAGATTCGTGTGAATTCTCATTGCTATTTTGAGAGGTATTATTTTGGGAATTAATTTGAGGAGGTTTTTGACTTAATTGAAGGAATGTCTGTTAAATCGGGAGGGGAAGTATGGGTGCTATCACTTTTGACGCCTTCCCCCTTTACAATATTACTATAGTTAATATTACTTTTTTTGTTGAATTAATTGTTTGAATTGGATTTGCTGTGATGGACTTTCTGCAGATTCTTGTGAACTTGACATTCACGATAGTTTGCAGTATGAGCGCCACCACAGAGTACACACACAGGACAGCTTCCAAAAGATACATCTTTTGTTAGACCTAATGGTACCAACGAACGCAAGACCGATTTTAGTTATTCGCTTTGCGCCTTCTAATGTTGTAAAAAAATTATCTGCGATAATTGTACGGCCGCTTTTACTATACGACTTTGCGAGTTGTAGCATGACATTCTCATCTTGATTCGTTTCACGTTCATTTCCTTCTTGCCGACCTGTATATAGTTTTCCTTGTAATGGATATTTTGTTTTCGAATCACAGGCCCACCAAATTTTTACACCATATTTGGTTGGTTTTGATGGTATATATTGAGTAAATTTGGTTTTACCACGATATGGAAAGAGCTGTTCATCAATAGTTATATTTTCATATGGACTATAGTTTTTTGCTAGATTTTCATTCATATAATTCCAAATATCACGAATAGGTGCGGCCTTATCACTTTGCAAGCGGAATGGACGTGTGCGTCCATCATCAAACCTAATATATCTTGACAATAAAAATAAACTTTTATGAGACATAGCTGCTCTGAATATCGGTAGGCCATCTGTACGCCACAAAACTTCTGATTTTTGTGTGTTATTATGGGAAACACCAGCTGCCAAAAAGTATACCAATAAACGCGTCTAATTCACTCTCAGTGACATCCTTCCAAACTTTTTTTTTGACCTGGATTAGACGCATTCCATTTTTGTATTGAATCTTTTCCATAACGATTCGTTTCAGTGATGATAATGAATGCAATATCAGGAGTGAAAAATTTTTTGAATACTTCAATTGGGACAGAATTTTGTTCCTTAGGTCCACTTCTAAAACGCATAACATTGTGTTAACGAATGCGAACACCAGTGTTTGGTTCATTTTTTTCCCATTTTGTACCGTCTTTACCATAGAAACACTCTTCAGAAGTACTCGTACATAAATTCTTCATCACTGTCAAATAAATCATTTGGTTCGATAACCACTTCATTCTCAATATCTGACGCATCATCTTCGTTTGGTACATAATCAACATCACAATCGTCATCGTCGACAGGAAATGATTCGATTTCGTCAATTTCTTCGCTCTCTTCAACATTTCTTTCACGTTCAATATAATTCACCAAAGCTGCTGCTAATCTTTCATAAAATGCTGTATCAATATGACCGTCGCGTGATCGCGTATTATAAATAAATTCCACTTCGTTTTCAAAGTTCATTTTGAACAAAAAAATGAAATTTTTAGAAGTATAAAACTAAAAAAAAATTAATTTACCACAAAATATACTCAGTAAACAATTACGCGTCGCGTTTTTTGTTCACGTGAATGCAATAAACTGATTCTAATGATAAAAACAACGATAAAATGTGTATAAATATACTATTTATCATATACAATATAAACGAGTCTGGTTAGACTTATGTAGCATGAATATGATATGTATACCATAATATTCTTATAACTATCTATACATTGGGTTTTCCCAATATTTTTTTTTCATAGAGTAATAGTAAATAACACTGTAGGAGGGTACACAATATTTTAAATCGCTATCTTATTTAAAAATATAATTCAACTGTAATTAAAATCAGAAAAGGTCTAGCTAGACTCATGTGCCCAACGGAGGGTTAATTATATTTTGGTCTATAACAATTAATTTTTTGATTGGATAAGATAAGCCATAAACTCATAATCGGCAACTGCCGCACAGACAACCACTGATAGCTGATACGATGTGTAATGAGTTAATGTGCACATGAAATATGTATATATGGTTGTATTAATTTTTTGGATTTACCCTGTTTAGTGTACATCTAACCTAACCACAGAGTACACACACAGGAGGCTGATCGCTGGTCTTGTTATAAGCTGAAGTTGAGTGGTTGGAGTTACAGCGAACACATCTTGAGGGATATGCACAATAAGTTTTAGAGTCACCGTACTCTTGGCAGTTTATACACTGGATAATCTCCCGTCTTTTGTACGGTTTTTCTATTTTAATCTTTGTGTTAAGTATCGAGTTTAGATGAAAAATGTCTTGGTTGATCTCAGCTGGTTCTAAGTCAACGAAGAATATCGGAAGTTTACTTTTTGTAGTTTTGTGTAAAACATTTGTAACACTACGAACTGTGTATCTAATTTCCTGAATTGCAATACCTATGTCAACTCTTGGGGTAGACGGATGTAAATTTCTAACAACTATACGGAAGGATTTGTCTTCTTGGGCTTGGAATGTGTGGTATTCAGCTTTAGACTCTTTTAAGTATTTTATAATCGATCTGTAAGTGTCAGAGTTGCTGGATTGTATCTTTAGGTTTTTGGAAGTTGATTTGACAAAAAATTTGTTGGTTCCGACTAAATTGATTAAAACAGTACGAAATGCGGCAAAGTCCAACAATCCGCGGACGAAAATGGGTGGAGGTGGTTTGATTTTTATTTCGTCAGTATCCATGTTAGCATTTGAATTTTCATCAGATTTAGTCTTATTTGAATCAGTATTATTATTTTCATTATTTTCATTGTCGAGAATAGCGTATCTATTTGTTGATGCAAAAATAGGTTTGATATTTTTTTTATTTAAATTTGACGATGAGCTATCAGTGGATAGATTACGTTTATTTTTGGACTGTACTATTTTATGTTCAGAAATATTTATGTTGTTTTCGTTGGTGTTCGAAAATACATCGTCACTTGAAGCGCTCTGTATACGAGATGTATTAGATTTGGTATGGTTTAAACTGTTATTATTACGATTTAGATTAGCATTACCATTTTTAGACATTGTTCGTTATCGGGTTACGTAAGAGAAGAGATTACGGCTGCCGCCGGCTGTAACAGTCGGGGAAACCTTATGTATGTGGCAGATTAATTATAATTTTTCGGTATTTAAAAACGATGAAACGATTCAGGCATATAATAACCGCGTAGAAGAAATATTCCAAAAATTATGCGATGCAGTAGCCGTAAGTAAACCGTCGTCCGAAACAATAACATTACGTGAAAATATCAAAGAGCAAGCTATGGTTAGTTACATTAACGGGTTACCCAACAAAATAAAATTCGAAGTGAAAACTAAAAATCCGAATTCTCTTGACCAAGCCATGCAGGTAGCATTAGTAGCAGATAAAAACATTCGTACGTATAATAATGCACAAGACATTTTTAGAGTAAATAATTATGAATACAATAGGCAAACAAATAGAAATAACAATAATTATAACGTTAACCATGGTCAAAATAATAATAATCAAAACGCATCTTATAGTAACAATAATAATTTCCGAGGTAGGAATACTAATCAGGTCCAAAATTTTAGGAACAACAATTTTAATGTTAGACGATGTTTTACGTGTAATCGCGAAGGACATTTTTCGTCACAATGTAGGATGAATAATCAATCATATTATTTTACGCGACCACCCAACGGTAATACTAATCAAAATTCACACGACACCTGCATATATTGTAACAAAACGGAACATACTATCGCGGTATGTTACAAAAAACAAAACGACGAACGTCGTAATAACTCGGGAAACGGGCAGAACTCTTACGCGACATACGGGGCGCGTGCGATACAAACGATAACCGTGGACCCATCAGAAATTGCCTTCCAACAGTACACACAACAATAAATAATACTAACCATGTAAAATGTATCTCACCTGCTTGTAAAATTAAAGAGTTAGAATTTCTTATCGATACAGGTAGTGAAGTGAACGTGGTTAAAAACGATACTTTATGCGACGGATTAACAATAGATAAAACACATAAAGTATATCTTAGGGGAATAAATGACCAAATAATACAAACTTTAGGGAAAGTAACAATACATTTAATATTTCAAGGGCAAAGCGTATATACAGAATTTAATTTAGTTAGTAAGAATTTTCCAATAAAGAGAAACGGTATAATAGGTAATAATTTCCTAACGGAAAATAATTCGATAATAAATTTAGCAAATAAGACATTAGAAATTAACTTTAACAATAAGAGTGTAGTATTAAAACCTAGAACAGAAACCATTGTATCTATACCTATAGCTGCAACGGACGTAGAGAATAAGGACATTTTAATTCATAAGCAAGAAATAGTAGTAGGAGTCTTTTGTGGGAACATTATAAACACTGTACACAACGGGAAAATATTAATAAACATGTTAAATATAACTGAGGCATCCGATATACGAAACTATGCAAACAATTAATTAATAGGGCGACATTCAATTATGCAATTATACCAATACCCAGGACTTATAAAGGGGGTTTAAAAAGAATGTGCATAATTATGAACGACCTATATATATATAAAAATAATATATTTTATAATAATTTAACTTACATTAACGTAAAATTTCCATAAAAACACTAAGACCAAAGAACATATATAATTTATGTATTTATATTTAAATTAATTTCAATTATGTATAAATATTTTGTAACAGGAAAAGATATGAAAAAAAAAAATTGTAAACACGATTAAGTGAAATCGTGTAAATTTTATAAGAAGCTGTTCTAATAATATATTTTAGTTAAAGGAACATAATTGTAACTGAAATTTTGTATTTTCAGGAATAGAAAAATATGAAATAAGTGTAAGCAGTGGCGTATTTATTTGGTGGGGGGGGGGGGGTCCAGGGGGTACTGGACCCCCCCAGAATCTCTCAAAAAAAAAAAATTCTTACATATTTGCAGACCCCGATTTATGTAAGCATGCGCGGACATTTTTTTTTCCCGTGAACAAAATATTTATATGAAATATAGTTTAAAATTAGTCAACAGTCGAACGATCAAAAATCCGCCGCCACGCGTAATTAAACTTTCCTTGTATTGTATGTATTACCACTTTATATACCCGTATTAGATAAACATCAATAATCTCGAAACAGTCAAAACATTCTTATCGCCAGGAATTGACGACTCACATGGTATGCTGACAAATAGATCCGTCATCGAGATCCCGATAACCATTCTGATAAGACTTTATACCAGGCCTGAGTCATTTAGATCCCGACATAATATGGTCCCGAGTCATTTAGATCCACCGCATTTATGATCTCAGCCTGTTTAACATCTGGATCTATTTATTTTGGCGGCAATATGACATTTTTAAATTTAGTTTGGAGAGAAAATGTTTTCAACCAAAGCCGCTGTCTTACTTTACTTTGTGTCGAGGTGCACTGGGACTTCCATAGACCCAACTAAATATATTATTTAAATTTTGAAATATTAATCCAAAATCCTACTTATGAGTGGATTCTAGCTCAGCGTCTGAGTTATACCATGATTATAAACCAAAATGAGATCCTTTCCATAGTATAGCCAAATATTGACTAAATGCTACTAAATAACATTACTAATTATTATCATGTAAATATGTTCAGGTATTTTAAATTTTATTCTAAGCATTTCGTAACAAAGCGGGAAGGGTACCGCTCTGCTGTAGATTAGGTGCCGCGGATCACTATTATATATTATAATTTATAAGAGTGTTAATTTGAACTTGACAGTTATTGCATTGAATACGAAAACGATTCTGAACGAAATGATTTGTCAGCCTAGAATATAATTTCCAGTGGTTGTGAAAAAGGTGGTAAGATTTAAGATGTTTTAATGGCCTGAATACACCACATTAAGTTCTTTATAATTATTAAAAGCTAAACTTATAAAATTGTATTCAATTTTCAACTCTTACTACTTATAAATTTTATGAATTATATCTCAAAATAATTTGCAAATATTCATGATTTTGCGAATTTTGCTCAAAATTTGAACTTCAAATGCTAATAAAAACATGTGATCTATGTATTCTTATAATTTTTAATCACTATAAAATATACATAAGAAGAACTTTGTATAAAATTTTCAAGTATTTTGATTGGGCCAGCAATACGTAACTGAACGAAGCATACCAT